TAGTTACGCATCTGTGAGGGGAAATAGCCATGGTAATTCCATGCCTACCACCCGGAAGGTGCTTAGTTATGGCATCTGCGAGGGAAGGGCATATATGTCTGACCCGGAAGGTGCTTAGGATTAATTTTGAAATGAATTAAAATCTGTTTTGAACATCCGTGCGTTGGGGATTATGTGTAATTGGGGTTGATATTAGCGCCTCTTACACATAAACCCAATCAAATGAATATGATGCTCTGTTTTTCCTTCTTTTCCATTTCAGATTGACMYCAGCAAGCAAGTATTTTTGGCAAGAAGAATAGATACATGTAAATAAGTAAATAATAATATGCAAATATTTAAATGTGCAAATGGCATATGAAAGATATGAAACTATGATCAAAAATGGAGTGCAGACAATATATCCATGAAACAGATCTATATAGTTAGCACTAAATAGCACTATAAAAACACTAGAGTGCATTCAGTAAACCCGTGAAATACGCGTAGTTATTTAGCGGTACATGCCTGTAACTAATGCTMCTTACGGTTACGCGTATATTTCACGGGTTTACTGACTGCACTCTGSAAAACACCGAATAGTGTTTGCACTATCCTTTCACTTCGATTAAAACTTACTTTTTGCCGGCATAAAATCAATTGAGGTAGATGTTGACTCTCCCTCTTCCCCTGGACCAGTGTTGGTAAAGAAGTTTTTGCGTTTGTTCGTTACCTTACTTTATTGAAATTTGTAAGATAGATTGTGTAAGTTCCCTGTTTGGATGATATTCTGGTTTGACGTCTTTTGTAAAATATATTATTTTCTGTGTGTGAGTATTTGTATATATGCATTGTTAACACATACTGCTACCAATAAAAGACGTTATTTCTTATTGTGATGATATCCAATTGCAATGTGTGGAAAAGGACATGATCGGTRTATACGATTAGTGAATTATAAAACTATCTTGAAACGCATCTTCGCACAGACATTWTAAAATAACTGTTATAAATGTCGCGTTCTGATTGGTTTGGAGCGCGTGCTTTATGAGAGCACAYTGCACGCGTGCGCACTTTCAGTTGCGTCATTCCTATCTATTATTGTAATTTGTATTTTATAAAAGAAATAAACTTGCTTGATGTGCTATGTGCAGTCATAAAGCACTTGAAGATTGGCAGAACACTCAAGAAGTTTCCAGAAGCACTCGACTACGCGTTGTGCTTCTCAGTCCTAACACTTCTCTCGTGTTCTGCCAACCTCCGCGTGCATGCAGCACGCGCGCGCGTTTTCTATTTCTTCAACATTCGAAGTACTGCTTGCATTTGCACAATATTTTACAAACTTTTCTCGAAGAAGAAAGTACGGTGCATACGCAAATAAAAAATCAAAACCATACACAAATGTAGGCAAAATTATGTATGAAATATGAATGAAAAGTAAAATTTCCCACTGCTTGCATTTGCACAAGCCGCGCGAACTTTATTGTACATGGTTTCTTTTAAATGATATTGTGATATCAAAAAAAAAAAAAAAAAAAATGTAATAATCTGAATTACTTTGTCATTGAAAGGACCGCTATGTAATTGCTTGTCGCAAAGTCACAGGATTTTTCAGGTTATTTATGACGAATAAAAACTTTTCTTATTTTTCTCCTTTTTGCTTTTTACTAATTTTTAGGCACCCTCGATTAACCTTCCCTCGATCGTAGGCACCCTCCATCGTGGGAGCACCCTCGATAGGAAACGAGGGACGTTAAGGAAATCGAGAGACGTTGCCGTWAACGTCCCTCGTTTCCCAGCATCCTTGAGAGATCCGTAAAATGAGGCGGTAAATGTGCATGATCTTTATGCATGAGACCCAGGCTCGGGAGAATATATTGGGCAACCACTCCCCGTCTTTTCAAAGTCAAAGAAATTACTTCTGCAAGAGGAANGCTTACATGGAAATACAAAAGAAATGACACACATTCCATTGAGAAAAAATGTGGTTTCGTTTCTATTTTCATGTTAGATTCGCTATCAAGGCTTTTTGAGAAGGCCTCCAATTTGGCAGACAAAAAGTTTARTTTTAGTCGCCTGTCAATCAAACTGTTCAACTGCATAAAAAATAKTGAATTATCTCTTAGCGCTTAAAAATAATTTTTCTGGAAAAGCGAGTCGCRCTTCAAAGAAAACGAGTGTAACGGTTAATAATTAAAGGAAGGATTCGACTTAAACTGGTTTTAAGTTACTCTAAATTTGTAAACTGCTTAGAAAATATAATAATGTTGTGAGGACTCGTTTCTGTCGTCTGTAGAAGATATTTAGGTATGTATGTTATGTAGAATAATTATTAGATATGTATATTGAGAGATATTATAATAAAATAATCGTCGATGATAAAAAGCTCGAATTTTTGTTTTCATTTTGTTAGAATTTTGCAATGTCAGCCACTCTCTGCTTATCTCTACTGCTTGGCGCATATATTACTGTCAAGAGTACTCTGACAGTGACGAGCAGGTGATTTGAAATCTAGGCGCGCAATGTATTGTTTGTCACAGCGAAAGTTTCACAATGTTTTCTGTTATTYCCTAATAAAACGAAATGTTTTTCACCAACAACGAAATAATTTGCTATTCCTAAAAGTTATTTGGTAAATCTGTTCACGGATGTGTGGCTAATTCGTTTCACCTGATAGAACCGATATCACCTAAAACGAGTCTCTTACGCAGCCGCTATTAGTGAAGTCACGCAAAGCTCACCCCCTAAGGAGTGATCGTTACGTGACGAATAATAGCGGCTGCGTAGTAGGCTATGGGTACGAATGACGACAAAGAAAGTTCCCATGCGTCCTGTGTGCTCTCAAACAATCAAAAATCAACCACAGGAAGCCCAACTAGCATCACGCACTCGCTCTTACGAAGACATTTTTCAACTTCAGTTCCTGCGAACCACAAAACAAAACTTTTTATCGACGTACGAAAAYTTAGCGCTGGCTACAGAAATACACGTCATTATTAAAGAGCAGTCTTTTTAGCTGCATGTGGTCCATGGTTCGATAATCACAATAAGGAGCACGGATAGTAAAATGAGGCGGTAAATGTGCATGATCTTCGAGCGCCTTATGCATGAGACCCAAGCTCGGGAGAATTAGGCAAACAATCCCCATGGTTTCAAAGTCAAAGAAATTACTTCTGCAAGAGGAACAGGTGTACACAAGCGCATTCGAAGTTTCGCCTTTTAGAATTTTTACTTAGTTGATTCGG